GGCACTTTTTTTTTTTGTACGTTCAAATGGAATCAATAAATTCAAATCAACACAAAAGTCTTTGACTAAGTTTTAACGATGAAAGTTGGCGATAAAGTGTGGATGAAACCCAAGCATATGGTGCCGTGTACACAACAATGGTTTAAAAGATGTATAGTTGCACTGCATAAAGGTTTAACAGCTGAAGTTGAAGTCAACAGACATACATTGCCACAACATTTTTCTTATCTGCAGCTTCGTCATATAAACAAAAAAAGAAATTTAACAGCTGATGACGATTACAATCTGACACTATTTAAACTTCCAGAAACAAACTTAAAACATGTTGTCTATGAAGGTTTGAGTTTTCAAATAAATTTTCTGAATGAAGGCAAAGCTGACAAGTATGGACAGCGCTAATCAAAATTATCCAGCAGATTTTGAAACAGATTTACAGCCTGTTCGGTTCACTCACTACGGAAAAAGAGTTTTTCCTAACCGGAAGTATAGCGATTATGTATGAGCTCTTCTTGAGCTAGGGGAGATGTTGTGATTTTAATGTGCATCAATATTTATCAATAGTTAGCTTTGCTAATTATTGAAAAAAGTCACACATTGCTTTTTTTTATTATTATAACATTTTGTATAACAATTTTTAATTGTTGAAAAGAGTCACAAGTTGTATTTTTAAAATATAAAATAAATATACTAAATAACAAACATTTTTTTTTGTAAAGAGGCGACATTGATGTTAAGTGAGATAAACATTAAAAACAAAATGGCTTTTGAATGGGTTGAACAATTAATTTAATTAACCCCTATAAGTGTTCTCAGTACGATTAGCAACAAGGAGAAATAATCATAATTTTGAAATCTTGAGTATTTTTAGGTGTTTGAGCGCTCTATATTTTAGTCCTTAATTTTGATACATAAATTTTTTTAAAGTATATGTATATGCTCACTGCTCTGTCATTTTAAATATCAGGATTTATCTTTTTCATCAATTATTTTATGCTCTATTGTACTTTTTTTAATTATTTGTGCAAATAAATAGAGCAATTGCTCAGCTTTACATGAATAATTTTTTAGCAAAATAGCTATAAAAAAATTTATGTGCGTAGGGCTGAACAATTTAAATTATAAAATAAGTTTTTTTTAATTAAAATTACCAAATTAATTTATTTATTGTGATAATAACATAAAAGCGTTTATTGTTTTGCCATTATGCTTCCAGTTGATAGTTTAATATAAACTTGTTCTTTTTTGTAAAAAAAAGTAAAGCACAAAGTAATTAATGGACAATACTTTTACTGTTTTAATTAATTGATGACAAACAAAAATATTTATAGCTTGTATTTCCAGAAAACTATTTAATATCCAGAAGAAGAAAAACAATTTATAGAAATATTTGGAGTTCACGAAATATCCGGAAAAAATAATTCCTGATATTTAATGTGATAGAGCAGTGAAATTACATGATCATAAGAATAAAAATCAATAAAAAAAAAAAAAAAATTGTAATTAAACAAAAAGTAGTGCATTTCTACTTTGTTTTATTTTTATTCCATTAAATCAATTTTATTTGCTCTATTTTCTTACTAAATCTGAATAAAAAATAAAATTTTTTATTTTGATTTTAAGATTTTATCAAAAAAACTTATCGTAGTTTTTAATTTTACATATCTTATGTCTATAGCACTAACAGGAGCTATTCTAGACTGTTTTCGACAGCGTCAACTGTATTGAGGTGACAGTTTGGGCGCGTAAATTAAAGTTTGAGGACTTTTCTTTATTTTTACGTTTTTTATGGCAAATATTGTTATTTTTGCGAAAAAAAACTGTCAAATTTCCGCCAAAATTTGCCGGAATGGGGGAGTACCGCCACCCAAATTTTTTTCTAGAATTGGCCTTGACTAATACATTTTTTTTTTAAATAAATCAAATTTAAGTTATACTTTTAAAGATTATTGTTATTTTTATTCAGCAATTATATGTTTTATAAATGGTTATATATAAAAGCATTGATCTACATAAAAATTATTTGCAAAAGGGAAAAACCAAACATAATGTTTATAACTCAAGTGGAAGTTATTTGAAAGAGCTTTTTTGTTTGAGGTCATTTATTAAGTACAAAAGCGTTTATCACACCAGTATTTATTTAAAAATAAAAATAAAAAACCAGAACTTACCGTCGATCACAAGTAATAGGGTTTAATATTATTTATTAAAAGGTTTTATGTCAATTTTTTTTTTTTTTTGGAACGTTTAAATGCGAAACTTATTTTCTAAGGATTATTCAAATTATGTAAACACTCAGCACTTAGAATTCACTTTAATTATTTTTATTATTTCACCTAAAAATCTAGTTTAATTTAATTTATAAACTGTATTTAATTAAGTATTAAAATACTTATCTTTTTTTTTAGGAATACCTGCCAAATATTTTCTTTTCCAGCTCATGAGATATTCTTAAATATACTAAAAGCATTTTTTTCCCTGAATTTTAACGGAAATGTCTTTAAAATATTTTTCCGGATATTATTAGGAAAAAATTTTCAGGATTTTTTAAATATGACCAGGATAATAAATAAAATAATGTGTGTTAATTTTTACTGTTTACAAATATTAAATTTAGGTGAAAGATTTAATGCATAATTGTTATATTACTTTTGATATACTATTTGAATAAGCTCATTTTTTTATTCAATATTTGAAAAGCTCAAGTAGTTGGATGGTCTAATTTAAAGTCTATGTAAGTATATAGCAAATTTGATTTAATGAATTTTTGAACGAAGACTTTCTCTACTGTTTCTAACTGTATCTAGCAACAAATTTTTGCTAGATACAGTTAATTCTATTTTTATTGTACCATTTTTATTATTGTACCACTACAAAACTCCATTTTAAACTTGTTAAGAGTTTTCTTTTTTTAACACTGTAGTGCTTCTTACTTTTAATTGCTTTAATAGCAAACCTTGACCTACTAATAATTTAAAGTTTATTATCTTTTTCTTTTTTTTTTTAATAATAATATATTTTTTCTCTACTTGTGTTTATCATACCTTAATTAAAATTCTATTAAATATCTTACTATATATTTTTTATTATTTTTATCTCTATTTTTCCCAATTTAATTTTATTTTAGTTTGGATACTGTTGAGACATGGTTTTAATTTTGTAATTTTCATGAATTGAAATTTACTTTATTGATCATTAGCTAACAGTTGAGGAATAATAGATTGAATTTAACTTCAAGGTAAGGTAATAATTTTGTTTATTAATGACTTAAGAACTGATTTTTATGTTTAATTATGCAAATGTAAATTATCAACTTTGATCTTATTTTTAACAATTTCGGGCTATCAACTAAATAAGTGCTTAATACACAGAAGAGGAATTTTTATTAATTTCCCCCACCCACTGAGCTTATTAAGACCCTCCTTTTTATTTATTATAATGTCAAAAGAAAAAGAAAAAAAAAATTCAATGTAAACCAACATTAAAAATAAGAATTTTAAATTAACTGATAAAAATAAAAACAGTCTGTGTAATTAAGATTAAGCAATTGTTGGCCTTAAAAAAGTTCTAATAAATCTCAAAACAAAAATATTTCTCTTAAAATTCAAAATTAATTAAATTTTAGCCACAAGCTGCAATAAAATAAATTGTTTTCCATGAGTTCTGTTTAAAGGGCTAATTTTTTTCTGAAAAATTCTGGAAAAGTCTTAATTTTTTCAAAATATATCAAGAAAAAATATTATTATTTTTTGAAATAACAATGTTTTTCAATATTTCAACATTTCAAAATTTTTGCTTCAAAATTTTTTTAAATAACATTCGCAGTCAAAATTTTAAATTTTCAAAAAATAAAAAAATAAAGCATTGTTTCATTTTCACAAACGTAAAAAAAATTTTTCAAAATTTATAAAGTATAGTACACTGTTAAATAATTGGAATGGATTCTTTTTTTTTTATTTATTTATTACAATATTTACAAATATATCAATAAGAAAAATTACATGCAAAGAAATCGTTAAAAAATAAAGATAAAGAACGCAGCTACACAAAGAAGACCATACAGGTCTTGTCATCAAGAACCGCTGTTAAAGAACTTTGAACTTAATTTAGATTTTAGAAAAAACAAAAATAAATACAAATTTTAGACTTTTCTTTAGTTATGGTCTTTATGGCTTGAATACTAATTCTTCTAAACTGCACGACTCAAGCGAAAACAATAATATCATAATATTCTTGATAAACAAATATGTCTCACATCTATACAATCACTGAATCTTGTTACTCAAATGTATCTTACAATTACATTAATCTTAATTGTTAATTAATTAATAAATAAACGAAAATAATAAGAATATGATTGCACTAGGTACATCCAAATGCACTTTAAGGTTTTCCAAAAAAAGAAATTAGAAAGCTAAATGATGGTGTCATTGTATGAAGCCGAAAATATCAAATGTTGGTGCGTTTACGTTTACGATTCCACCTACAAAAATGCTAAAACATAAAAATGCTACAAAAATTATGACTAAAAAAGCCAAAGATGGTTTGCAATGAGTTGAAATGTAATAAGTCTGGTAAGTTTGCCATTGTTGCAGAAAATAAAAGTGACTTAATGCTTTTAAAAAAGTCAAACAAAAAAGTTATGTAAAGCAAAACAGAAAGTAATTGATTAGTTAGATTTGATTGAAAAAATGCTTCAAAAAAACTAGACAGTAATTTAGATTTGATATTTTTCTTTGATGATATTTTATTGTCATTAATAAAGCCAAATGTTGCAACTTTAATATTTAAAAAAACAAGTCTTATAATAATAATAATAATAATGTACACTGTGACAACTGATGAAATCAATTGTGGAGCACAACAACAGAAGATGTTGTGCTATAACAGCTATAAATGTTTTATAATAGCATTGTTTACTTTTTAATGTATATAGATATTATTTAGTATTTAATAAATAATTTTTGCAGTAATCTGATTTATCAAGTTTATTTTTGAATTGGTCAATTGTCATTGATTCGATAATATATGGTGGTAAACCATTCCAAGCATTTACGACTCTACAGGAAAAGAAATTATATCTATAATTGCTCTTACAATATGCCTTTGTTAACTTTTGGTTATGACTACGAAAATTGTAAGGTTTTAATTGAACTTGAGATGTCGAGTCGTTTATCCAATTTATTTTCTCATAACCGTTTTGTATTTTATATTGAAAAATAAGATCTCCTCTTAAACGGCGTTCTTCTAGAGTTGTTAATTTCATTAACTGTAATCTTTTTTCATATGGCATTTTTTTAAAAGCTGGTACGAGTTTTGTTGCCCTTCTCTGTACTTTTTCTAACTTTAAGATGTCTTGCTTCAGATAAGGGCACCATGCTTGGATTGCAAACTCAAGATGCGGTCTTACAAAAGTTGTATATAATTTTTTTGTCATATTTGAGTCAAAATATTTAAAAGTTCGTTTAATAAGATTTGATTTGATTTACCAACAGCTTTATCAATATGACTGGTCCATTTTAAATTAGATTGCATCATTACTCCTAAATCACGTTCTACTTTTGATGCTGCTAATATATTATTCTGTTGAGTTTCAGCGTCGAACATTGAATAAGTTATACAAGGATTTTTAAAACCAATGTGCATAATTTTACACTTTTCATAGTTAAATTTCATTAACCATAGTGACGACCATTTCATAATATTATCAATATCTAGTTGTAATTTGTTTATACGGATATCTTCATCTGATTTAAAAATATTTATAATTTTGCTATCATCTGCATACAATTTAATATTATTTTTTAATGTGTCTGGCAGATCGTTTATAAAAATAAGAAACAGAAGAGGTCCAAGGACAGAACCTTCTGGAACTCCACTCTCAACTGTTAGCCATTTTGATACACAATCCCCTAAATTTACTCGTTGCTTTCTATTATGTAAATAGGCTTCTATCCAATTTAGAATTACTCCAACTATACCATATGATATTAACTTTGACATCAATCGCCTATGAGGTACTTTATCAAAAGCTTTTGAGAAATCTGTATACAACACATCAGCACACCAGCCATTCTCAATAGCATCAAATAAAATATCTTGTGTTTCTAGTAGATTAGTAGTACAGCTTTTGCTCTTTTGAAAACCATGTTGGTTACTATTTAATAAATTGTTTGCTAACATGTAATCCATTATTTTTTTATCTCCATTCTTGTGTAGTGGTGTTACATTAGCCATTTTCCATATGAGTGGAGTTTGTTCTTCTTGTAAGGATCTTTTGAATAGTAACTCTAGAGGTTTGCAAAAACTATTTTGACATTTTTTTAACACATATGAACTTACACCATCTGCTCCTAATGCTTTATTGACATTTAGTTCACTTAGTTTAATTCTAACGATGTCTTGAGTTATTATTGAGTCTATATCTAATTCTAAAGTCTTGGTTGTTTTTAACGCAATATTAGGAAAATTTGTTGGATCTTCTATAACAAATACTGAGTGAAAGTTTTCATTGAGGATATTAGCAATATCATCACGATTTGTTTGTAAAGAACCATTTTTATCTGTTATTATATTAATGCCTAATTTTATTTTTTTGTTTGAATTAACATATGCATAAAACAGTTTTGGATTTTCTTTCAATGAGTCAGCTATTTTTTTTTCATAATTTATTCTTTTTGTTTTAATAAGATTTTTTATTGTTTTGTTGATTAAAATATATTGGACTTTCAGCTGGTCACATTTAAAACTATTAGATAATAGTTTGTGCCATAAACTTGTTTTGTTTCTTATTGCTTTTTTTGCTTCTCTATCAATCCAAGGTTTGGGCTGTGGTTGTTTATTGAAGTATGTTTTTTTTTTTAGGAATATATTTGTTGCATAATTTATCATAGATATTTAAGAATATTTCATAGCACTCATTAATACTATTTTTTCCAAAAAAACTTTCCCAATCATTTTCATTGATAACTTTATTTATGACTGTGTAATTACCAAGTTAATAGTTAAATTCAGATTTCCCATAGTTTGACATTTCTTTTTTAGTAGTGTTTTTAAAAAAATATTTCCAGCTAAGTATTTGGTGTCCATTTCTAGTGTTGCCTAGAGTTGGGTTATGATGGATTTTATTTATACGTTCAGGTGTTTCTGTTAAAATTAAATCTAAGATATTACCATTAATTAAATCTGCATTATATGTAAGTGACATGTTTTAAAACTTTATTTTATTTCATAACTTCTGTTGTAAAGGATGAATGTTATTTTTGAATTAGTAAAGTAACTTTTAAAGTCAGGTAACTTATTTTATTTTTATTAAAATTAAAATTTATTTTTGTTATAATTATTAATATTATAATTAAAAGTTCAGTCATTTTCTTCAGGGATATTAGGTTAGTACATGAGGAAAATTTATCTACCTCTTTATTAGTTTATAGACCATTTTTTAAATAGAAACCACTGCTTAATTACATTTGGAGACAAAGTCCCATTGCCATTATTACGAACCTTGCTCTTCAATTTGAAGAACAATTTTCATCAACTTTTTAAATAAGATTGCCCCCTTACCCTCTTTAAACTTGAACAATAACTCCCACCACCTCCTATCATTCCCATTCCACTTTGCATTAAAAACCTGAGAGTTCTATTGGTTATGACAGTTTAGATTAAAAAAAAAAAAGAAATCACAAATACTATCTGAAATATTTTTTCAGAATAGGCATTACTATTTGAGTAAGTTTTATTTTTATTTGGAGTTGATATAAATTGGATTGAACACATTCACTTATAATTAATATTAACTTTTTATTATCTTAGTAACAATTCTTTGGAACAATAAATCGTTGTTTGTTAAAACCAAAAAGTTTGATTGTTTATTTTTATTCAAATGAAAGTTAAGGTCATTTTTGACCTGACAATAAGGTCATGAGTCAAAACTCAATGCAGGGTAAAAATATAAATTTTCCAGAAATAATAAAACTTAAAATCCACTATTTCATAAGAGACAGAAAATTAATTACAAAATTTTCTTCACTTTTCATACTATGGCCAGATGACAGCAATTTTTCTCTGCGTTTCTCAGCACCAATTAAAATTTTTTGGTCTGTTGTATGAATGCCTAATAAAGTAATTATTAAAATTTAAAACTTCAAAAATATGTTAAATTAATTTATGGCACAAAATTTTACCAATATTCTATTTTATTCCTAATGTCTAATTGTTAAAGAAATTTTTTAGCTTATTTATAAATCTTTAAAGTTTGAAACTTAAAAAACAAATATAATCTTCGTATTAATAACAACCTTAATGTCTGTCAAAGAAAAGACTAGATTTGTTACTTAGCATGGTCCTTATCTCTGGAACAAATTAGTATTACCAAATTTTTTTTTTTTTTTTATCAACATATGCTTTATTAGGCTCATTGTAAAAAGACTTTTGGTAGGTCTAAGTTTTTTAACTATTAACTAATTATCATAGCATTGTCTTAAAACAATATATATAAATATTTAACAGTATTTTGATTTTAGTCATAAAAAATTAAATAAATCAAAAGTACGCTAATTATCCTTCATTTAAAATTATGACTTGACTATCAACATAAAACAATTTGAATTATAACAATGTACAAAGAACATTTTAATACAAAAGTTATTTTATTATTTGTCCTTATTTGCAATAACTTTAAATGTTAAAGATTTTATAACTTAAATATTTTAAAATTAAATTACCTTTAACTGATTTTGTCAAGTTGACTTCTAATTTGAAGGTTTTCATGTCTGACCACTTAGTTAATGATTTAAAAGATAAACATCTGACAGATGTTTAACTAATAAAATCATTTCTAAAAGTACAGTGTAAGTAGCTAAGCTCAAAATCACTAAAAAGAAAAACAATTTTAACATATTAGTTTTCAACTTTAAAAAGAATGCAATTTTCCATTAGAAAAATTAGTTAAAACAATTATAAATTATGTTCAAGCACATCACTAAACCTAACTTTTTCAGTTAAATTTTCCTGCTTGAGCAGTTAACATACATTCTCAATCAGATTTAAATCCAGATGATTTCTATGATAATCAAAGACATCAATCTTTTTTTCTTTTAAAAACTTTGTAATGGTTTTCACCTTGTGACATGATGTCCCATCATACATAAAAATGTATTTTTTTATATTTGGGAACCATTGTGCTATTAGTCCATCACTAATTATCTCTTGATCTTGTCTTATTGTCCCATTTACTATATGCAGCCTTCCAGTACCTTGAAAATTAATTACAAATCACACCATGACATGTAGGATACTTTAACGTTGACTCATGACTTGAAAAATCATTACTTTTTTCCAGTCATCTGTGAAGTTTTTATATATTTTTGCTTCACCATAATGGGCAATAACTTTAGTTTATGTGCTGGTTAATGTGAAGTTAAAACAAATCCTTTAAGACGTCTCTGGACTGTTTGTTGGGAAATGTAGCAATGTAGCCTCTTCATTAACAATCTTGATCAATTGATCAGTTGAAAGTTTTCTTTGTTGAAGACAAATATTTATAATTTTTCTGTCAGTCCTAGATTTAATTCAAAATCAAGTTTTTGCTTCACTCTCTTCACTATGCTTTGAAAAATGTTGAGTACCTCAGCTATCTTACACTGTGACATTCTTGTATTTTTTAATAATCCATAAATTAAATATTTTTTGGGGGAAAAATATTACATGTCCTCACCATTGCTAATATTTAATAAAATTGTGAACTTATCCACAAAAAAAATTTTTTTATATATTTTTATTTAAAAAATGTGAGTATTTAAATATACATACCTTTGTAATTAATAAAATATTGTCACAAAATAATCTTCACAAGGTATTGCAATAATTTTTTAGAAAAAAACACTTCTCACACAACCATTCTAAGCAATGTTCTGTTTTAACTGACAACATAAGATAAGAATGAAAATTAAAGACATGAGCAATGTTGCCATTTATGAAATAATATCTTTGGCATTGTTGATAAAGATATTATTTTGTAACCCAAATCAATTCCACAAACAATTATAAAGCGCTTCTATAAAATTCCATTGTTTTTTTTATAAATCTTTATTTCACAACTTTTACTTTTTTCTCAGCGTGTGTTTTAGATACTGATTTTCTTTTTAAAAAAATGTTTGTCACTTTTTGCATGCTTTAATTTTATGATAATTTTTATGATTACTAATTAATAACTCCTAAAACCTTAGTACAAAAACTATTTTATTTAATTTAAATTTTCATGATGTTTTCAAAACAAAGTTTTTCTAAACAATGATAAACTTGCTTTATTTATTATTTTTCAGTTATACAAAGAAATGTTAATATTTCTAGTTGTTAATTCTTTTTATTTAAAGAACTCGCTTCATTTGTTTATAGTTAATATATTGTAAATTAATGAAGCAAACTGAAGACAAAAACATTAGGGTTTTTTGCTAATTAAATATAAATTTTGCACTATTTCTCAATTACCTTTTTTATTATAAACATTCATAAAATATCATTATGGTAAAATAAAAATATATATATATATATATACATATATAAACTATATATATATATATATATATATATATATATATATATATATATATATATATATATATATATATATATATATATATATATATATATATATATATATATATATATATATTTATTTTACCATAATGATATTTTATAAATGTTTATAATAAAAAGGGTAATTGAGAAATAGTGCAAAATTTATATTTAATTAGCATATATATATATATATATATATATATATATATATATATATATATATATATATATATATATATATATATATATATATATATATATATATATATATATATATATATATATATATATATATATATAGACACAGAGAGAAAAAAAAGAGAGATAATTTTTATTTTGGCCATAGATTTTTAATAAACTTTTAATCTACCTATGACAAAGGCTATGAATAAGCTACGGTGGGTAAATAATTATGTTTATTAATATACACAATCTATACCAGCACAGAAAATTTTTGTTGACTAAAGCTGTAGGTCTTGTTAAATAAATGTATTCAAATAAACTTTATTGTTATATATAAACACTAAATATTTAATTTGATTTTAAATATTTATTTACATTATATGTAAATCCTAAAAAATTTATTTCTTCCAAGTGTTAAAATAAACAAATAAATTTAATACTGAACTAATTTGGCAAAAGATTAATACATCTGTCCAACTACACCTGTAGATTAGTCCAAGATCATCTGTACACTTTTATCCAAGATCATCTATATTTTTTTAGTTACATCTTTTCAATGACAGAACTGAAAAGATGTAACTAAATCTAAAGAATTCACAGATGTAGTTTTCTCAACATTATTGAAAAGATGTAACTACATCTGAAGTAATCATACTTTTTATACAGATGTTATTGGACCTCAACGAAATTCCAAATGTTGTTGGACAGATGTTATTATACCTCAGTGTATTAATAGATGTTGTTGGACAGATGTAGTTATACATTATTATAAATACAGATGTTGTTGGACAAATGTTAGCAGACGTAGCAAAAACTGATGTTGTATCATTGGTCCATTAATTTTATTAAATTAATAATAAAAACTTTAGTATTATATTTGTATTAATCTTAAAAATAAATTAAAACACGTTATTTAGTCCAATCATACATTATATAAGATTAAGAATGCGCAACAAGCTCGTATAATTAATTAGTTATATGCAATGATATATTAAGAAAAAATTTTTATCCTTTAACTAATTTTATTATTTATCTAATAGTTATTCCTAATATATCATCGGTTATATGAGATCTGAGATAAGATCCCTGTTTTGATTGGACAAAAAACTAGTTTCAAACAGTCCTCAATTTAAAATATATCTCCAATATATCATATACGCTTGACTAATATTTCATATACAACTCCTAAAATCCGGCTAACGATAAACATTTTGTCGGACCTAAAGCAAGTTAAATTTTTCGTCCAATCAAAACAGGGATCTGATCTCAGGAAATAGCCGCTCGTATTTTTTGTTGTTGTTGTTATGTTTAAAGATTCTTCCGCAAAACACCACAAAATATTATGATTCAATATCATTTAATGGTACTCCCTTTATGGTTTTAGGATGTAAAGTGCTTGATTGTATGCACTGGAATGATAGAGAAGTCTCTTCTAAAGAAGTTTAT